GGCACTAGAAATGAATAAGGTTTCAATCGGAAAGTGTTGGCTCCTCCAATTCTGTACGGGTTGTCTTCGGCGGCGACGCGACTGATTGGTTCCGCTAACAAACTAGAAGGATGAGCGCGGGAGCGCCAGTGATCAAGCAGTCGTGACTGCTGTGGTAATGTAAATTGATAGGCATGGTAGTTTGGGGCACCTGTGCAGGTCGGAAGAACGTTAGACTAACCGTTGCATCACGTCGCTGCACTTTATACGTTGAAGGTGAGAAGAGGGTAGCCCTCTTCTATTTCCAGAAAACCAATTGTATGGGAACTAGGACCCGACAAGCCTTCCATGCACAAATAGCTTGAAAATATCCAACGTTTTCCTTCGGATTGGGATGTCATGCTTTGTATACTGAGTAATCAACTGATCGAAGTTAACATGTTAATAAGCATGGGCTTAGGTGGTGCATAAGAAGTAATTTCTTTTATTGGACATTGACGGCCAAAAATAACCGTATTCTTTTTCCCCGATTCATTAGTCCGCCGGAGTCCACAGGATACGCACAAGCGGTCTATCAGAGCATCTGCAACACTTCTCATGAAAAGGATCTCGATATGATGGTCCAGGAAGATTTCTACTGCTTGGAACAGTCCGTAAAAACGTCGAAGATGGGAATCCAAATCGTGGGGCTTCTACCGAGTGTTTTCGGGCACTTCGAACTGTCTATTTCTTATACTTCCAGATTACATACCCCCATGTACTTTATATAATGTAAGCATGATATCCACTGTTCAAGCGGAATTTCACCACCTTGGAAATCTTGCATGTCAGGCGACGAAAATGGTCAAGGAGCTGTACCACTCGTCATGCGAATAGCGCCTCAGAGTGCTAGGCATTTTCACCGAAGGCTATCGGCGTTTGCATGGCGAACTAATGATAATTTACCAAATTTTAAACAACCGTAATCACCCGTGCCATCACCTGTTGTGGCTGAGTCACAACAACAATGAGAGGTCATCATCTCAAATTGGCAGAACTGTACCTCTGGTTGGAGTGTCGAAGAAAGTTCATCTCACTCACCCACAAACGTCGCGCATTTTTGGATCAGCGTGTGCTGGATACTACTTTTGCCTCAGATTACTGTGTTAACAGCGTTTTATCCGTGTGAATTGTGTACCAAAATTCTTCCTTTGGCGTATTTTTCAAGTGGTGCGAATTTGGTGACTATTCTTTGGCTACTTCCGGAGATCTCATTGATTTGCTCTACTGCCACCTCTGTCCGCCATCTTGGATTTGCTCTAGCTTGTGATGCCGCCTCAAGCTACTTGTGAT